AGAAGAAGGCAAAAAAGAAGGAGTAGAAGACTAAATAACGAAGAAGAAGGCAAAAAAAGAAGGAGTAGAAGACTAAATAACGAAGAAGAAGGCAAAAAAAGAAGGAGTAGAAGACTAAATAACGAAGAAGAAGGCAAAAAAGAAGGAGTAGAAGACTAAATAACGAAGAAGAAGGCAAAAAAAGAAGGAGTAGAAGACTAAATAACGAAGAAGAAGGCAAAAAAGAAGGAGTAGAAGACTAAATAACGAAGAAGAAGGCAAAAAAGAAGGAGTAGAAGACTAAATAACGAAGAAGAAGGCAAAAAAAGGAGTAGAAGACTAAATAACGAAGAAGAAGGCAAAAAAAGAAGGAGTAGAAGACTAAATAACGAAGAAGAAGGCAAAAAAAAAGAAGGAGTAGAAGACTAAATAACGAAGAAGAAGGCAAAAAAAGAAGGAGTAGAAGACTAAATAACGAAGAAGAAGGCAAAAAAGAAGGAGTAGAAGACTAAATAACGAAGAAGAAGGCAAAAAGAAGGAGTAGAAGACTAAATAACGAAGAAGAAGGCAAAAAAGAAGGAGTAGAAGACTAAATAACGAAGAAGAAGGCAAAAAAGAAGGAGTAGAAGACTAAATAACGAAGAAGAAGGCAAAAAAGAAGGAGTAGAAGACTAAATAACGAAGAAGAAGGCAAAAAAGAAGGAGTAGAAGACTAAATAACGAAGAAGAAGGCAAAAAAGAAGGAGTAGAAGACTAAATAACGAAGAAGAAGGCAAAAAAAGAAGGAGTAGAAGACTAAATAACGAAGAAGAAGGCAAAAAAGAAGGAGTAGAAGACTAAATAACGAAGAAGAAGGCAAAAAAAGAAGGAGTAGAAGACTAAATAACGAAGAAGAAGGCAAAAAAGAAGGAGTAGAAGACTAAATAACGAAGAAGAAGGCAAAAAAAAGGAGTAGAAGACTAAATAACGAAGAAGAAGGCAAAAAAGAAGGAGTAGAAGACTAAATAACGAAGAAGAAGGCAAAAAAGAAGGAGTAGAAGACTAAATAACGAAGAAGAAGGCAAAAAGAAGGAGTAGAAGACTAAATAACGAAGAAGAAGGCAAAAAAGAAGGAGTAGAAGACTAAATAACAAAGAAGAAGGCAAAAAAGAAGGAGTAGAAGACTAAATAACGAAGAAGAAGGCAAAAAAGAAGGAGTAGAAGACTAAATAACAAAGAAGAAGGCAAAAAAGAAGGAGTAGAAGACTAAATAACGAAGAAGAAGGCAAAAAAGAAGGAGTAGAAGACTAAATAACGAAGAAGAAGGCAAAAAAAAGGAGTGAAGACTAAATAACGAAGAAGAAGGCAAAAAAGAAGGAGTAGAAGACTAAATAACGAAGAAGAAGGCAAAAAAGAAGGAGTAGAAGACTAAATAACGAAGAAGAAGGCAAAAAAGAAGGAGTAGAAGACTAAATAACGAAGAAGAAGGCAAAAAGAAGGAGTAGAAGACTAAATAACGAAGAAGAAGGCAAAAAAGAAGGAGTAGAAGACTAAATAACGAATAAGAAGGCAAAAAAGAAGGAGTAGAAGACTAAATAACGAAGAAGAAGGCAAAAAAGAAGGAGTAGAAGACTAAATAACGAAAAAGAAGGCAAAAAAGAAGGAGTAGAAGACTAAATAACGAAGAAGAAGGCAAAAAAGAAGGAGTAGAAGACTAAATAACGAAGAAGAAGGCAAAAAAGAAGGAGTAGAAGACTAAATAACGAAGAAGAAGGCAAAAAAGAAGGAGTAGAAGACTAAATAACGAAGAAGAAGGCAAAAAAGAAGGAGTAGAAGACTAAATAACGAAGAAGAAGGCAAAAAAGAAGGAGTAGAAGACTAAATAACGAAGAAGAAGGCAAAAAAGAAGGTGTAGAAGACTAAATAACGAAGAAGAAGGCAAAAAGAAGGAGTAGAAGACTAAATAACGAAGAAGAAGGCAAAAAAGAAGGAGTAGAAGACTAAATAACGAAGAAGAAGGCAAAAAAGAAGGAGTAGAAGACTAAATAACGAAGAAGAAGGCAAAAAAGAAGGAGTAGAAGACTAAATAACGAAGAAGAAGGCAAAAAAGAAGGAGTAGAAGACTAAATAACGAAGAAGAAGCCAAAAAAGAAGAAGGAGTAGAAGACTAAATAACGAAGAAGAAGGCAAAAAAAAGAAGGAATAGAAGACTAAATAACGAAGAAGAAGGCAAAAAAGAAGGAGTAGAAGACTAAATAACGAAGAAGAAGGCAAAAAAGAAGGAGTAGAAGACTAAATAACGAAGAAGAAGGCAAAAAAGAAGGAGTAGAAGACTAAATAACGAAGAAGAAGGCAAAAAAGAAGGAGTAGAAGACTAAATAAACGAAGAAGAAGGCAAAAAAGAAGAAGTAGAAGACTAAATAACGAAGAAGAAGGCAAAAAAAGAAGGAGTAGAAGACTAAATAACGAAGAAGAAGGCAAAAAAGAAGAAGTAGAAGACTAAATAACGAAGAAGGAGGCAAAAAAGAAGGAGTAGAAGACTAAATAACGAAGAAGAAGGCAAAAAAGAAGGAGTAGAAGACTAAATAACGAAGAAGAAGGCAAAAAAGAAGGAGTAGAAGACTAAATAACGAAGAAGAAGGCAAAAAAGAAGGAGTAGAAGACTAAATAACAAAGAAGAAGGCAAAAAAGAAGGAGTAGAAGACTAAATAACGAAGAAGAAGGCAAAAAAGAAGGAGTAGAAGACTAAATAACGAAGAAGAAGGCAAAAAAAGAAGAGTAGAGACTAAATAACGAAGAAGAAGGCAAAAAAGAAGGAGTAGAAGACTAAATAACGAAGAAGAAGGCAAAAAAGAAGGAGTAAAAGACTAAATAACGAAGAAGAAGGCAAAAAAGAAGGAGTAGAAGACTAAATAACGAAGAAGAAGGCAAAAAAGAAGGAGTAGAAGACTAAATAACGAAGAAGAAGGCAAAAAAGAAGGAGTAGAAGACTAAATAACGAAGAAGAAGGCAAAAAAGAAGGAGTAGAAGACTAAATAACGAAGAAGAAGGCAAATAAGAAGGAGTAGAAGACTAAATAACGAAGAAGAAGGCAAAAAAGAAGGAGTAGAAGACTAAATAACGAAGAAGAAGGCAAAAAAGAAGGAGTAGAAGACTAAATAACGAAGAAGAAGGCAAAAAAAGAAGGAGTAGAAGACTAAATAACGAAGAAGAAGGCAAAAAAGAAGGAGTAGAAGACTAAATAACGAAGAAGAAGGCAAAAAAGAAGGAGTAGAAGACTAAATAACGAAGAAGAAGGAAAAAAAGAAGGAGTAGAACCCTAAATAACGAAGAAGAAGGCAAAAAAGAAGGAGTAGAAGACTAAATAACGAAGAAGAAGGCAAAAAAAGAAGGAGTAGAAGACTAAATAACGAAGAAGAAGGCAAAAAAGAAGGAGTAGAAGACTAAATAACGAAGAAGAAGGCAAAAAAGAAGGAGTAGAAGACTAAATAACGAAGAAGAAGGCAAAAAAGAAGGAGTAGAAGACTAAATAACGAAGAAGAAGGCAAAAAAGAAGGAGTAGAAGACTAAATAACGAAGAAGAAGGCAAAAAAGAAGGAGTAGAAGACTATGTAAGGATGTGTCTTAGGCCGGGGTAAACCTCAGCGGCCCAGGATTCCTCTCCAGAAATATTTATATTTTTAGAGACGGCCAGGACATGGACGCCGAATTTTTAATGAATTTTCTAGTGGCAAAATGGCAGCGAAAAGGGGGCTCGTTTTCAAAAGGGGAACTCTGGCTTCGGGAAAATGGGAATCTTGGACGGTCACCCTGGCGATGGCCAGGTGCTCCTCCGTTTCCCCTGCAAACGACAAAAAAAAAAAAAACAAACATCCCCCTGGCAGAGGTTTCCTGCGCCCGCCCGGTTGCCCAGCAGCGGCGACTCTTCCGATCGGCAAAATCTCCGCCGCCCGGGATGACCCAGCGGCGATGGCGGGCAAAATGCAGATCGAAAGGGAAAAGGAGAGGGAAAAGGGGAAATCTGTGAAAACACGTGCCGGCGGCGATGGACTCGTAGCCCGGGAAAACCCAGCAGCCCCGATGCCCACGCCAGATCTGTGCCCGGGAGAACCCAGCGGCGACAAATCCCGCTCCCGTCCCGCTTCTCCGGCCCGGAGCTTGCCCAGCGACCACGCGGAGTTGGTGCGGTCAAACCCAGCCACCAGCTCGGCGAGTGAGTGAGCGAGAGGGGAACATTTTGGCACGCGTCAAAAATAAGGGTTGTTTTGTGGCTACGCGGAGTTTTATGCGGGTGCGAGAGAGAAAGACGATGAAATTTCTGACTTCATGTTTGGTTACTTTATTTTATGGCTTAATTATTACGGTCACATTTTCTGATGTACGCCTATCGGCCCTAACCTGGCCCTACGCCACACTCCAAATGACCTGCCCTTACATGGCACTCGGCCGGCTCACCTGATGCTCACAAGCCAGGATGTAAATTGACACACGCGGGTCCTTTTGCACTTAGTACTACTTAGCCGCCGGGTCTTTATAACTGCGAGTCGCGGAGACTGAGGTCAACTATTCACGCTTGCTGTCGCCAGAGAAGTGATCGCGGTCGCAGCTTGCAAAGCCCTTGTCGCCTCGTCTCTGCCAAAAAGGTCCGGGCAGCGCAGCTTTCGGCCGTCGGCTTTGTTATTGTTATTGTTTACGTTTTGATCGGCATGTAAATAAGCACGACCGAAACGTAAACACGCACGATCGTCGGAGGGGAAATGTCGCTGCCTCTGCCGCTGTTCGCGACGGCAGCGGAGAGGGGAAATGGCTGCAGCGCGGTAGCTACAGTCCGCGTTGACAAAATGTATACGCCTGTGCGTTGCGGCCTAAATCTAATTTGGCCCTTCGTGGGCAAATTAACGGTGGGCTTCATGCCCGTTAAATGTACAGTTGTGTGGGTGGGTGTGTGGCTAATCCTAACTTACTTGCTAACTTAACTATGACCTTAACTAATATATACAAATATTTACAAATAGGGGATTGTGACATCGTCACATTCCCCCCTATCTTCGGGAGGGGTGAAGAGTGATGATCACCCTCCCGCTTCGATTAATCTGGACCCTGAAGCGCTGGTTCCCCTCCTCCTCCAGGATCCGGATGGTTCGTCTCCGCGGTGTCGCCAGGCGCCCGTGGATTCGGCGGAGTAGAGCTGCCGGTAATGTGCCGTTTGGAGTGGTCCATTCCACTGGTGCCGGCACCCAACGGGGCGGGTGGGGAACTCCCTCGTCGGCGTCCAACGATGATTCGTCAGATGAGCTAGATGGGCTGTCTGCCCATGGGGCGCTCCTGCGCCGTGCTCTGCGGCGTGGGGTCGGTGAGGGTGGTGGGCCACTTGCCGGCGGTTGGGTAACCGGTGGGTTGCCGAGCTCCTCACTCAGGTCTTCTGCCCTGCGGCGCGCCTCTTCTGCGGCCAGCTCCGCGCCGGTGGGCAGGCGGGGTCGCGGATCGTGACTGGCGGCCACCGCTGCGCATCGGGCGGCAGCGTGCGGATCGGGGGTACGATCCCCGGCCGAAAATCTCCTCGTAGGAGGGCGGAGGGGGTCGGCTGCGACTTGGAGCGGCTGGTGCCCAGCTTTGCAGCGGCGTAGTGCTGGGTGGAGTCCATCGCGGGGGCGGCGATCGTGGGGCGTAGGACCAGTCGCTGTCCTGACTGGCCTCGCCCTCGTCGGCCGAGACTGTCGACGATGAGGCGTCCTCGGCGGGCCCGGCGGAAGGTGGTCGCGAGGCGTCTGACGGGCGGCCCTCCTCGTCCTCGTCGGCCGAGATGGTGGACGCCGTGTTGGTGCCGCTTCCCCAGTTGAAGTCGTCCCCGGGCATTTCCCCGAAACACTCCATCAGGGCGGCTTCCACCTCGCCCATGTACGGCGGGGCCCGGTTGTCCGCTCGGGTGCGGCGGTGTGGGGCGCCTCCTCCGTATGTCCCGGCTGTCCTCCGCGGTGGGGTCGTATAATACGGTCGCGTCGCTGTCGTCGCCGCCATCGCTGGTGGGGTTGTAGTGACCACGCGGGCGGCCCTCGTCGTCGGAGACCAGGTCATAAACTGCGCCCAGAGGCCCGAGCGCGCCTGTTGCCGGTGGTTCCGTGTGCGGCGGGCTGTTGAAAAGGTCGCCAAGGGTGTCCTCCACCAGGCCGTCGAAATCGACCCAATCGTCGGACAGGGCGATGGCCTGGTTCCACGCCTCCTCGGCGTCGGCGGAGGGTGCCCGATCTCCGGGTGAGGTATCGCGTGGCCGGGGCGGCGTGAGGTTGACCCGCAGGGGTCCAAAACGGTGGTCTCGTGGCACCTCCTCCTCGTCATTGCCGTCGAGCGGGGCAACTTCCGGAGGGGCGCCAGCGGCCCGATGTGGCCGGTACGCAGGGTGCCTGGGGCGGCATGCCCCTTAAGGATGCTGGTTGGGGCCCAGCGACGCCGAGCTGGTGGGTCTCCTCCTCGTCATCGTCGCTGAGGACAACTTCCGGAGGGACCCGGCGTGGCCCAACGAGGCCGGCGAACAGAAGCGGCATCTCCTCTGTAGGGGGTCGCTGGGGCTCGGCGTGGTTGTCGGCGGTCGTCGCCTCCCCGTTGGCGCTGGTGACGTCGGCGGTTGGGGCTCGTGGGAAGAGACCGGCGTTGTTGGCGACGGAGCTGTTGTGGGGACGCGGCGAGCTTGGTCCGGCGCCTTGGAGTGCTTGCAGGATTTCCTCGACTGCAACGCACATCCAGGAGTAGTCCTGCGATTGCTGGCCCTGTCCGTCCATTCTCTGGCTGGTCGACGTTTTGTGGGGGACGGCGGTCTGGAGAAGACGCGGTCGTGGCTCTGTGGAGACGCCGGTGGTCAGGTGGGCGTTGTCTGCGGGTGTGTGGTTCGTTACGCCTCTTGGTAGGCGTGCTGGAGACTGTTGCTGTAAGGACAGAGGAGAGGTGTATTAGTGTGTTTCCCCTGGGCCCTACCTAATGGAGTGGGCTAGGGTTGACTGGCTATGGCTACGGCCTTTTTTTTTTGGGAAGAGACGCATGTTCACCCCACTAGGGGGTTCGGGACGTTGGACAGGCGCGCCTGTCAACAAGTGGCCCCTGTGAAACATGGTCGTCCCTCCCTACATGGGTGCTCGTCGCTAGTGTTGTCGGCGCGGGATGGGTCCCCTGCGTCGTGTGGTCTTGGTAGCTGGCTGTGCGTCCAGAATGGTGTCGTCGGCGTCCTCGATTGTGGCATCTCCGGCGTCGGCGTCTTCCCGGTGGGCTCCGGCTTCGGTGTCTGCCTCATCCTCGTGGTGGTACGGCTTCAGTTGGTTCAGGCTGGCGGTCCGCCGGCGTCGGCTTCCGGGCATGTGCAGTTGCACGATGTTCGGCGATGGGAACTTCGCTACCCTGAAGGGTCCTTCGTATTTCGCAGCTAGCTTTGCGGCAAAGCCCTCGGCTGCGTTGGATAAGGCGTGTCGGCGTACCAGTACCATGGATCCAACTGGTGGTCTCCATGTCCTCCGGCGCAGGTTGTAATGACGGCTCTGCTCGGCGGCGGCGCGATCAGCGTTGTTCCGGACGACGTCGAAGATGTTCCGGAGTTGTTCGCTTCGCTCTGTCGGGGAAGTCTCTGGGGTGCCCCGTCCGGGGGTAACTTCGTCGTACAGCGTCCTCGGGAGTCGCGGTTCTCGGCCTTGTACCAAGAATGCGGGGCTGAATCCAGTAGTGTCCGAGACACTACTATTTATGGCCAAAGATATCTCCGGGAGGAGTTGATCCCACTCGTTTTGTTGGCCTCCATCTAAGTATTGGGCGATCATCGTCTTGATCGTCCGATTTGCCCGTTCCGTTGGATTCTGTCTCGGGGTGTAGGGCGCCGTGTGCTGCAGCTCCATCCCTAGCGACTGGCAGAACTTCTGGAATGAGCGGCCGGTGAACTGCGTACCGTTGTCGCAGACAAATGTTCGGGGAACACCGAATCGGCTCAATATCCGCTCTCTGAAGGCTCGTTCCAGATGTGTGGCGGTAGCTTTGCGAAGCGGCACTAGCTCCACCCACTTGCTGAAGGCGTCCAGGAATACTAGAAGCATCGTGTTGCCCTGTTTCGACCGCGGCAGTGGGCCGACGAAATCTGCACAAAGGATGTGGAACGGCTCCTCGACCTGTCGAGTAAACATTTGACCTGCGGGCTTTTCTTGGCTCACCTTATATCGCTGGCAAGTGGGGCAACGGCGAACGTACCGAGCCACCTCGCGAAACAGTCCAGGCCAGTAATAGCGCTGGGCCACGCGAGTGCTGGTTTTCCGGACTCCTAGATGACCGGCAGTGGGGTGATCGTGGCACTCTTCGAGTACTCGCTGGCGATAGTCTGCCCCTACGCACAGCTTCCAGGGCGTGTACTCCTCCTCCTCCGGCCGGAGTCCAAGGCGGCGATATAGCTGGCCATTCTCCTCTCGGTAATCCGGAAACTTTGCTGGTTCGGTCCGAATCCTCTGGAGCATCCTCGTGATCCACTTGCAGTTGACTCCTTGTACCTCCGCTTGCTGCACTATGGGCAGCGGTTGGCGAGAAAGGGCATCGGCCACTAAGTTCTGGGCCCCCTTCCGGTAATGGACGTCGTATTGATACTGCTGTAATTCCAGTGCCCAACGAGCAATCCTGCCTGTTGGATTGTCGATGGAGTTCAACCACTTCAAGGAGTGGTGATCTGTGAGGACTTCGAAGCGGTATCCCTCGATGTAACACCGCATCTTCCGGATCGCCCAGACGATGGCGAGACACTCCTTCTCAGTCACTGAGTAGTTCCTCTCAGCAGTGTTGAGCCGGCGGCTGGCGTACGCTATCACCCTCTCGTTTCCATCGATGGTCTGCGTGAGTACGGCTCCGATTCCGTAATCACTGGCGTCAGTTTGTAGCACAAACTTCTCCGCAAAATCTGGGCAAGCCAGAATAGGGGCTTCGGTCAGCAGCGTCTTCAGCTCCTGGAAGGCCTGGTCCTGTCTCTGCGTCCATTCCCACTTGTGGCCCTTCTTCAGCAGCGATGTCATGGGTGCCACAACATCGGCGAAGTTCGGCACGAAGCGGCGATACCAGGAAGCGATTCCCAGGCATCTGCGTAGCTCCTTCAAGTTCGTCGGCGGCGCGAGTCCGCGGATCGCAGCGACCTTGTCCGGATCCGTGTGGATTCCGGCTTCGCTGATCACGTGCCCCAAGTACACGATGCGGCGCTGGAAGAAATGACACTTCCCTCTGTTGAGGCGCAGGTTTGCGCGGCGGAGGCGTCTGAAGACTTCTCCGAGATTGGCGACATGCTCCTCCAGTGTGGAGCCGATGACAATGATGTCATCCAGATATGCAAACGCATGAGGTTCCATATCCGGACCGATGACCGTGTCTAAGGCGCGTTGAAACGTGGCGGGCGCGGAGTGGAGTCCGAAAGGCATGACTCTCCAATGGAACAACCCTCTTCCGGAAACGGTAAACGCCGTGCACTCCCGGCTGTCCGGGGCCACTGGGATTTGCCAATACCCATTTTTGAGGTCCAACGTCGAGATGAACTTCGCGTTCCGGAGACGCTCCAAGATTTGGTGGATCCTCGGAAGTGGATACGCGTCCGGCACGGAGTTCTCATTGAGCTGGCGGTAGTCCACGCACATGCGGACTTCGCCATTCTTCTTGGCCGCGATTACGATGGGCGCGCTGTGTGGGCTTTTCGATGGTTCAATGCGTCCGTCTCGGAGGAGTTCATTGATCTGCTTATCAATGACGGCCCTCATGGCCGGATTCCTAGGAAAGTACCGCTGTTTAAGGGGTCGATCCGTGCGCATGAAGATGCGATGCTCGGCGATGTGTGATACCCCTGAAAGAGTATCAAATTTCGCCAGTTCCTGGTCCAGAAACTCCTTCACCCAAGGCTCGGGGTAATCCTGCGTCTCGGGCTCCTCAGTCTGGAAAGAGACCTGATCCTCTGTGGGATGACTCACCGAATTGACGGTTCCGCATAGGGGCGGGCTTGGCTCCGGCGTTTCCTCGACGTGATCCTGGAAGCGGACACGTTTTGTGGAGGTACGGAAAGGGTTCCGTTGCGCGGCTGTGGCGTCTGCTACGGGCAAAACCTGTCTCCAACTGGGCGGCTGGTTCTCCGTCGCTGGTGATGCTGTGTCTCGAAACTGTGCTCGAGGTGAGATACTTGGCTGGTCGTCGAGTTTGGAGCACGGCTCCCTTGGCTGCCTTCGATGGGTAGAGCGTGGCTCTCCTTGGGCTGTCGTCGATGGCTTCTCGGCATGAGTGGAGTGTGACTCCGGTGCCGCGCTTCGCTGCTCAGAGCGTGGCTCTGCATGGTGTGCCGTTGGTGGCTCTTCGGATGTGGAGCGTGGCTCCGTCGATGTGCTTCGTGGCTCAGAGCGTGGCTCTGAGTGATGTGCCGTGGATGGCTCTTCGAGGTTGGAGTGTGACTCCCTTCGCTGGTCAGAGCGTGGCTCTGCGGGCTGGTCCCGTGGGTTGGAGCGTGGCTCCCTTCGCTGTTCAGAGCGTGGCTCTGTTATTGGTCTTCGCTGGTCGTCCGGTCGCAGTCGGAGGGTCTGCCCGCCGCATAGCAGGGTTGCTCCGATCCCGCAGAGGAAGTCCATTCCTAGGAGTATGTCGTCCAGTGCGTCCGACATCACGAGGAGAATGGTGGGCGTCCGTTCGCTTCCAAGGTAGATATTTGCCGCCAGAGCTCTGGTCAGCTCGCGGCATGTTCCGTCTGCGAGTTTTACCTGGGTACGGATGTCCCGTGTGTTCCTTCCGTTGTCCAGCATTTGAGCCAGCCCTTCGCTAATAAAGCTGTGGGTGGCTCCGGTGTCCAGGGTAGCTGTGAACCGCTGCCCCTCCATGTGGATGGTAGCGCGGATGCGTCCCTGGTACTGATGGAGAGTGTCTCCTATTGACTTCGGGGATACGGAGGGTTCCTCGGGTGATTCCCGGTCACACGAGGCCCTTGCCCGTTTCCCGACGGTGGCTGTCGGCAACAGTCGACCGTCCTGCGTCCTCGTTGGCCGCAATCCCAACAGAATAGGATCCGGGGATTCCTGCACTCGGCTTCGAAGTGCCCGGATTGGCCACAATTCCGGCAAGCATCGCGAACGTTGACGGCTTCTGGTCGGGGTGTCACCGCGCTCTGGCTGGTGCAAGCGTTCCGGCTAAGGGATCCGTTGAGGGCGTTGCCTGAAGAGGGCGCCTGTTGTGTGCGTCGAGTGGGCATCCTGTCCCCGTCTGCTGCGTAGCTGGCTCCTGTGGCCTGGCGTTGAGTCGGGATCCGGTTCTCGAGCGCTCTTCCGCCTCGGCTGCGTGTCTCCTCGTAATTGGTCACGAGGTGCGTTAGCTCGGTCAGCGTACGGAAATCCTGCCTCCGGGTGTAGAGTTGATACTCCGGCAGCATATTCTCATAGATCCTCTCCAGCTCCTTGTCAGAGGAGAATCCGGCCCGGCGCATCTGCAAACGGATGTCGATAAGGTACTCCTTAAATGGTTCGTTGGGCTTCTGGAAATGCATCCTTATGTCATCCTCCAACCGCTGATAGTATCGCGGTGGCAGGAAGAAGTCAAGGAACTCCCGGCGGACCTCGGTCCAGCTGGCTTGTTGGAGTCCGCTCGTGCGGAACCAACTTTCGGCTCGGCCGGCCAGCAGCACCACCAGGGCTTGGGCCAGATATCTCCGGTCGATCCGGCAGGTATCGGCACGCTCCTCGATGTGCTCTATGAATCCCAGAGGATCCGTCGTTCCATCGAACGAATGGCCCCACTTGGTCATCCGATCGATTAGGATTGCTCCCAAGCCGGCTTCACTCGGGGAGTGCGCAGATCGCGCAGGCTCTTCCGCCTTCGAGCGTCGCCCTGTAGAGGGTGACGTACTGCGTGGTAAAAGGAGTGAGGGTGGCACCAGCGATGCCGACGTGGTCGGTTCCGGAGAGATGAGAGACGGATCCAGCGGTATGGGTGACTTGACGTCGCCGGTGGGCGCGTTCCCGAACCGGCGCTCCAGCTCGTCGAGCCGATCCTGGATTTCCTTGGAATTGCTGGGCTGCCGCGCGAATGCTATAAGCCGCGCGCGTTGTTCGTCCACCGTGCCGCTTCGGTCGAGTTC